TGTTGGGAAATGGCATCATAATTTCCCTTCTCTGTTAACTCAAAATGGGCACTGAGCGGAAACGTAAAATTATTACACCAAAAATTTTAGCGTGGAAAACCTTTCTCAAGGAAAAACCACGGGACCAGTAGGCCACTTAATCTTCCACTATAAAATAATGGGAATACAAAATACAATGATATTGTATCCTCAATTTGTGGATAACACTCACAAATTGGCTCACTATTTTTCTCTCTTAGAAAAACTCTCTCTAAGGCTTTCTCTCTATTTCTTCTATGAGTGGAAATGCTTCACTCTTGGATGATTAAGCCTCCTCTCAAGCCTCCTATATATAGGCTTCAAGAATGCATCATGGCCATTGGATATATGTGGCTAGAAAACACCACAACCATTGATTTGATACTTGGTCATTATTAAGCCACACCTACCACACCTACCTCACCTACCACACTTATCACACCTACCACAATATTTTTCTATGGCTGGACCCATCAACACCCTAGCTTGGATTAAATTTCAGTTAGTTACTATCTGGTGCATCGAGAGAATGGAGGCAATAAATGAACAAATAATTAATGGTTTCGCACTTTGAATAGAGCATCAACCCCCTCAAAAGTGCAGCATAAGATACCCCAGGCCCCATTGAAGAGGTGTGAGGCAGCGAAAGAAACAAAACTACCCTAAAAGTTGTGCCTTCAAAGATTACGACCCATTACAGCAACATGGCCCATTTATATTCATGACCAAATCTTGTCTTGTCTGACGAATCTTTGCAGTGGATTTAAGTTCTATTCCCCTAATTAAGGGATAACCCGCGCCTTGTGCACACGTTTTGTTTTAATTCGTGTTTTTTTTTAATATTTTTTTATGTTAATCAATTTCATCAAAATTTGTCAAAATTTGTACTTCAGTCCTTCACTAAATACTACTGTGACACCCTTTTTTTGTATGAGTATATATTTTGTTTGTCACAAAATCTATTGATAACTGATTTAGTGATAAAATATTAAACACTTAGTGATAGATCAAATATGTAAATGTAGTGGGAGGGAGAGTAAAATAGGTATGAAAGTCTAAACATCTAACTATAAAACATGATATTATTCATAATATGAAGACATAGAAAAGGATCGAGTAATGCTATATAAGTTAGTTATCATTTTTTCTCAACCAATAAGTTCAAAACAATAAACCAGGATATTGAGTAATGCTCATCAGAGGTTAGTTACTCCTATGGTGCTAGTTAGAATAAGTAACCCCATAGGATCAGCACCGAAGGAGGTGAAAAAAATAGAAGCAAGCTACCCCTTTATGTATAGCTCTTGCCAAGTTAAGAGTGCTACAAAGAAAGTGAAGCACAATAATTGATAAACAAATATAACGACCTATGGAGAGAAATGGTCAATCAGTAGTAATATATAACCAAAAAAAAATATGATAAAAAACACAGGAAACGCATGCAAAAAGAATTTTAGTTGTTACAACAAACATAGATAATACCATCTTAATAAAAATTATGGCAATCTCTAACTTAACATGTTCAACCCCAAAACATGTCGACTTGGGGGTAACTATAATTGCGACCAGTCTTAACTCTTAATGTCTTATCCTAATTGCATCATCTCAAAGTATGGTAGCTTAGAATGTTCAATACTTATATGCACAAGTTCACCCTTCAAAATAGGTTAGCTCACTCCACTTGGCCTTGGCCTATACGTAGGCCAAGCCGCAAGGTACTACATAAAAAGGCTCTTTGCGTTAGATTTAGCTTATGAGGTTTAAATTTAAAATTTTGACTTGATCGATCATGTTAAAAATGCTTTGATTGAGACTAGCAAAAGATGTCTTGATGAGAGTTGAGTTGAAGATGTGCTATAGTTAAAAATGTGAGTTGATGAAAGCGTAAGATTATTTGGTCGAGGCTGAGCTAATTAGATGCATTTATTAATGTTGACTCAAATCAAGGCTTATTGAAAGATGTTGTGATGGATATTAAGGAGAAGATGTTTTGATCAAGGTCAAGTTGAATATACTATGTCTAAGTTGAGGCAAGGAGACCCACTAGCCCCTTTTCTATTCATTATTGTGGCTGAGGGACTCTCAGGTCTCATGAGAAGTGCAAGCCTGAATGGAAAATTCAATGGCTATTATGTTGGGGCAGAAAACATCCCACTCAGCCTCCTTCAATACGCTGATGATACAGTTTTTCTAGGAGAACCCTCTATTGATAATGTGGTCACAATAAAGAGTGTTATGAGATGCTTCGAACTTGTCTCTGGGCTGAAAGTAAATTTTCACAAAAGCTGCTTTGGTGCAATAGGAGTGGATATGAACACAGTAGAAAAATTTGCAAACTTACTAAACTGTAAAATTATGACACTTCCGTTTAACTACTTGGGCATTCCTATTGGGGTTGTGGCGAGGAGGAGAGCAACATGGAAACCAGTAATAGATAAAATCAAGAACAAGTTGGCAGGATGGAAAAATAAGACAATCTCTTTAGCAGGCAGAATCTGTCTAATAAACTCTATTCTATCAGCTATACCCCTGTACTTTCTCTTTTTTTTAGGCTGCCTAAAACAGTTCTAAAGGAAATTGTTAGTATCCAAAGAAAATTCATGTGGGGTATGGATGATAAGGAGACTAAGATTTGCTGGGTGAAATGGGAAAAGGTAACAATGCCAAAAAATAGGGGCGGACTGGGAATAAAAGATCTGGATAGCTTCAACATCTCAATGCTTGCAAAGTGGAGATGGAATTTTTTCCACCAAAGTGACAGTTTGTGGACTCAAGTTCTAAGGTCTAAATATGGTGGGTATGCAAGCTTACTAGATGAACAACATAACTCACAAGCTAGTCACTGCTCAGAGTGG